TAAAAATGTTCAGTGTTCCTCCTCAAAGTTTTGTTTTAAAATGCCCGCTGGTCCCGAGAGTGCGGGACATAATTAAATGTGGATTAAGCGGCGATGGGACGAGCAGGGATTATGCGACAGCCACCACAATGTTTAGAGTCGTTAAAGGCTTGTCCTACTTAGGTACTAGCTGTCCACGATGTTTGTTGAGTAGGTACCTCCTTCTTTATTTACACAACTTTTGGAGCTCGGTGAATTAGAATCCGCATTTTAATAAGAAATTATAACTTTAGTATAAAAGATTACTCTTTTAATTAGAGGTAAATTGAGTTATTTATTTATTGGGTACTTTTTGAAAGTCTTCTTATTACTAAAGTTATTAAAATCATACTCTTGAGAACGCAGCCTGTGAAGGATGCGAAACGTATAAAATGTAAAAAGTATAAAAAACCTCATTTTAAACCCGTTGAAAGTATTTTATTTAAATGAGTGCGTGAAATACCTAAATATCTTCTTATTACTCTTTACTCAATTAATCTCGAGAATAATAAACCATGAAATACATATCTGCAGCACCATGAAGAGGATTAGCAGTCTTTCTTTATTTATTCATGTCGAAACTTATAACCGCTTATTTTCCATAAAACAATCACTGAAGAGAATAAAATCTTTATGTTTGGTTGTGCCCACATAGTTTTTTCATTAATTTATTTTCATTAATTTATTTTTCATACATTTATTTAATTGTTGTTGTTCAATTATTGATAATTTAAAATTTTATTTTTATTCATAAATGTTTTGTATTGAAGTTAATGTAATTATTTTATAAGATTTAATTGCTAGTTATGTGTAAATTGCATGTCGTAATCGCCTATAATTAAAGTTCCACTAATAAAGTGTCGTACTATAAATGTGTAAATAAGAAATGTCTAAGTGTAACTATGGTGATCAAATAAATAAATAAAACAAAACTTCTTCTTCTTAAGCTAATTACAGAGCTTCACAGCCTGACCTAAAGACCTATGACCTTTTTACAGTCTTTTTTTCTGCATTGTGGTATTGGCATGTCTATTGCGTAAATAGTAAAAACTTCCGACAGTTTCGAGTGTTGCCTATTCTTAGTGCCATCCTCATGGCCAGGTCATCCCCTACCTTGTGGTCACCCCCACCCTTCTCCTCTTATCATGTGTAACAATATTAGCTACCTCGTAGATAATCATAACACTGGTACGAAAATGTATAGAATGAAGCAAGAAAAAAAGGGTGAAGGGATACTTTGGAATCATAGAGCAATACGTCCCACGCGGCCAGCTCGAATTGACGACCTCCTTGGTGGAGTGGTGTGAAACCGCTCGTTTACACCAAGAAATAAGACATATACTAGTTTAACACAAAACTCGTAGAATACTTGTTGTGACTGTTAAAAACATTATTTCGTTAAAACTGCATAGGCGACTAGTATCTTTCCAAGTACCTATAAATCAATATTTACTACATATATTTTGTTTATCCGATCAGTTTGACCCAAGTATTCTATACTACCTACATGTTTTATACATGTATAAAAGTGTGAACAAAAAATTAAGATATCGTATATTTTTTTAAATACATGTGTTATAAATCTAAAGAAAATATATTTTCTTTAGATTTAAACATCAAGCAGTTACATGCTTTAAAAATAATAAAAATTATAACTATAATTGCTATTTCTTCTTTCAAATGTTTAATACTTGTAAAAGTATTCATTTGACATTGTGGGTTTACCTATAATGCGAAGAGATGGCGCTGTCTTGCAGCTTAAGAATAGCTAGAAGGAATTTCGACGCGGTCCGTGAGGGCTGCGGTAGCATAATTGGTCAGTGCATTCGCCCGGATTGCGAAGGGTGCGGGTTCGAGTCCCGTCTGCTGCCTGGTCCGCGTGGATTTTTTTTTCTAGTTATATTTTCTTTAGATTTAAACATCAAGCAGTTACATGCTTTAAAAATAATAAAAATTATAACTATAATTGCTATTTCTTCTTTCAAATGTTTAATACTTGTAAAAGTATTCATTTGACATTGTGGGTTTACATATAATGCGAAGAGATGGCGCTGCCTTGCAGCTTAAGAATAGCTAGAAGGAATTTCGACGCGGTCCGTGAGGGCTGCGGTAGCATAATTGGTCAGTGCATTCGCCCGGATTGCGAAGGGTGCGGGTTCGAGTCCCGTCTGCTGCCTGGTCCGCGTGGATTTTTTTCTAGTTATATTTTCTTTAGATTTAAACATCAAGCAGTTACATGCTTTAAAAATAATAAAAATTATAACTACATGTGTTATACCTTGGTGTAAACGAGGGGTTATAGGTACTGGTTTTCAAAGTGTCGCCTACTTAGAGGTCAGGAGGGTTGATAAAAGAATTACCTACCTCTTGCTAAAAATATTTAAAATTCAACAATCAATAACGAGGCAAAAACAAAAATACAAGGTGATTGTGAATCTAAAATTCCTATCTAGTGAATATCACTTTAGTTTTTTATTGTGCTTCCCTGAGTTGCTTCCGTTGAGAATAGGACACGTTATCCTTTATGCCGAACAAATAATGGCATTATGTTTTAGTCGTTTTAAACTTATTAGTGAATGGTTTTCAAGTCAATCGATTGATGGTTGATTAAGTAACTAACAGTTACATTTTTTTTTCATATTAATTTACGAGTTAAAACATTGAGCACCTAAATGCCCGATTTATTAATGCCCCACCATTAAAGAACTGGTGGAATCAGGCCTCACAGTGCCCCCCACAGCTGGGAGGAACCAGTATCAGCCAATGTTGCCATCATTTTTCAAAACAAAACTACCACAAATCATAACAGGCTTGAATCCCTGTGGGGCAACATTAAATGTTTGTAAGACAAATACAAGTACCGTCAACGCATACAACATGAGACAGTTTTCAATTTTAATCAGTCATTATCTTTTTAAAGTTTTTTAATTTAATATAGAAATTTTAACATAAAGTTGAGTTAATGTTTCCTTTTAAAAAAAACATAAATTACCACCTGACAAAATTGAATCCTTTTATTTTTTGTATTGTCTCAATTAACCTTCCAATGTTGCAAATATCACCATTCAATACTTGCAGTTTCTTAAGTATCCTTTTTCTGATTTATACATGAGATCATCATCATCATCATGTCAGCCGTACGTCGCCCACTGCTGAGCAAGGCCTCCCCCAAGGATCTCCACACCGATCGGTCCTGCGCCACTCGCTTCCATCGGCTTCCCGCGACCTTCACAAGATCGTTGGTCCACCGGGGCCTGCCCACTGAGCGTCGTCCGGTGCGTAGTCGCCATTTCAGAACCTTTCCGCTCCAACGGCCATCGGTTCTTCTAGCTACGTGTCCCGCCCACTGCCACCTAAGCAGAGCAATCGTTCGAGTGATATCGGTTGCTTTGGTTCTCCTACGGATTTCCTCATTTCTGATTCTATCGCGTAGGGAAACACCGAGCATCGTTCTCTCTATTGCTCGCTGTGTGACCTTGAGCCTTCTTATGAGACCCGCAGTAAAGGACTACGTCTCGCTTCCGTAGGTCATCACTGGCAACAAACACTGGTCAAAGACTTTTGCCTTGAGACACTGAGGTAATTTGGACGCGAAGATTTTTCGTAGCTTCCCGAACGCTGCCCATCCGAGCTGGACACGACGAGAGATCTCTTTCTCAAACTTGAACTTATCTAACTGGATTGTTTGTCCTAGGTAAACGTAACAGTCAACAACTTCGAGTAAAGTGTTCCCAATTTTAACTGAAGCGGGTTCATCTTAAAACCCACTTTTTGAGAAGATCTTCGAGCATTGTGTTAAGATGTTCCAAGGTCTCAGCCATAACAACTACATCATCGGCGAAACGAAGGTGCGTAAGGTACTCGCTATTAAGGTTAACGCCTCGTCCTTTCCGATCCAGAAGCTTGAAAATATCCTCCAATGCTGCTGTGAACAGTTTTGGAGATATTCACTTCATATACATTTATTATAACTAATCGACGAAATATTTTACATTAAACTTTTTACAATAGTCAATTTCAGATGTGCATAAATATATCATTAAGAATGTTCATAAATTATGTAATTATTATTATCAGACTATTATCATTTTTTTAAATATTAATTTAACCAACATTGATGTCGAACATTGTCTGCATTATTAATTACAGTGACAAGTGGTTTATGGTAACTAAAATAAGACACATGGACGTTCGCAGATACGTGGTTCACGAATCTTGAAAATATCAATGGTTCGCATCAATGGTTGTAATATACCTCGTTGTCCCCATTGCTCTATCAGAAACAATACCTAAATTCAGTTCAGATTTAAAAAAAAATATTAATGTCAATCCGTCAGCTTTGTTTGTCAAAGTTGCGCGACATAGGATGCGCACCAAAAACGTAACGAGGTCATTCATCGATAGATTTTACTCCTCACATTTTTCTCATACCGGGCCCCTTATATATTTAAATCGATTCTTAAGGAGTAAACTCCAATTGTACTCTTCGGTCTTCTGTATAACCTGCCGCAGCGTATGAATACTGGTCCATGGTACTGAAGCCTTTTCGGAAATCGGCTTGTTCGGGAGGTTGGAAGTTCTCAAACCTGCGTGCGAGACGATTCGTAATGACTCTCGAAAACCACTTATAAACATGGCTAAGAAGCGAGATTGGTCGATAGTTTTTCAAGAGTGCTTTGTCACCTTTCTTGAAGAACAGGACAAATATTTTTTTTTATCATAAATAATTGTCATAAATTAATCAACAAATAACATCATTACGCCGATGCTTACCTTATCCCAAACACCTACTCCGTAGCCTAAACGCATGAATTGGTGAGTAATCACCGACCAAAACACAACACCACCTAAAGGTAATGATATTTTACTGCGGTCTTTTGTTAATCGGAGGTTACTTCCCCAGAGTGGGGCTCCAATCCGAGCAGAAAAGCCACTTTGCACTATCTCTCTTTTGGTGTAATTATCTGGAATATTAATTTTACCTTGAAAGGCGGCTTCGAACTGCACGGGCTCCTGCGTGGGCGCCCGTGACGTGACCGTGACGAGACACGAGCACGCGGCGAGCAGCGCGGCGAGTGGCGCAACCCGCGGCGCAGCCATCACGCCACTACGACATGCCATCACCGCCCATACTCGAGCCGCACTATCACTCTGAAACAAAAGAGAACTAATAAGAATTTAGTCTTTAAATTCCTAGTCAAATGTTGTTTGAATATAAACTTAAGCATTAAGATCCTCACTATGAAACGTTTGGGTGTACAAATAAGGACCACAATTAATCCCATTTCAGATACAATCAGTGACTATCGATCCAAAATCATCACGTTTAAAACACCTGAAATATAGCTAGGAACTTAGGATTCCAGTGAATTAATATTGTATTATTTACTAAGATAACTTTTGACCTAACCAAGGGGTGTACCCTATCATGAGAATTTATCATTGAAAATACATATAGATAAATAAGTCCTCTTTGTTCTTTATTATATTCGAACCTTCATATTATTCCAATCAGTACAACCCTGTACATTCCAATCAGTACAACCCTGTATATTTGCGTAATAGTCCTCGATCGATCCGTGATTGTATAAAGGCGGTCATTAGCCCTCAGGCGGAAGCAAAAAACAAATTAAATCACTACACTTTGTTCCCTTCCCCCAATCTAAAGAAATCTCGGTCACAGAGAGGGCCCGGCTTCCAATAAGCTCTATTTTCTGATCGCAGATTTGATTTTTTATCAGTTTAATGGTCTTAATGTGTTTTTCTGGATTTATTATGATAAGTACCAATTTTTCATTTACCTATCTGTTTATGCAAATTCGAGCAATTGTCACAGTAAGTGAGTTCATTTATCTAAAAACTTATAATGATGGTTTGTTTACCTATAAAGCTGACGAAAAAACACTACAACATCTCATGTTGTAGAATTTAAATGAATAATGTAAGCTTACTTAAATAGCTACCTTCATAAACTGACAAACTGAAGATGCAGGCAGGACCTACAGCTTTCGAAGCACGTACGAATTCGTGATAATAAAATTTCGGTCGCCTTTTCTATGACCGGCAATTGCGAAAGTCACTTTACTTCCACAATCGCAAACCCAGCGTGATTATCACTGCTCACTGTGAGTAGTGCTAATTCAAAGAAGAACCACTACAGGTAAATGATTCAATCTAAACAACTGCTTGAACGATCCTAACGAATATCGAACTTTATTTTGTACAAAAGCGTTTGAGCATCGATGACACATCAAATGCAAGACGTCACGTACCCGATAGCAATCGGTGACGGGAATAAAATGTAACTGTTGTCGATGCTGGGACGATTTAAGTGAGGGTCGAAACCTTAGGTCGGAATCCTGCGTGTTATAGCTTCCTCCGTAGCTACACTTTCATAATGGTTTGTGGAGGTAGGGATGACAAAAATATAGGCGGTATATAAAAAGATAGATTCCGATGATTTGAGAACCTCCTATGTTTCATAACTCTGTTGAAATAACAAATTAAATTTTTGACTAGAAACATTTAAGGAACATGTTCCTTGGAAATAACCAACTGAACTCACACACCTTGCTAATCATAACTTTCAAGAGGAAAAGGAAATTAAGGGACAGAAAATAAAAGATTCTACCAAGTAGCCCTAAAGGCAATCTTTCGGTACGGCTGGTGCTGCTAATAAATTAAAGAAAATCACGATAGAATTAAATTTACTGCATAACTTATTTATTTATTTTATTTATTTATTTATTTGATTAGGAACACATACAGCAATACATATCATACATTACAAAGTGATTAATAACATAAAAACAATTATTATATGTTTGCCACTTACAAGTGTTCACAGCATTCAATATTAAAATGACAGTATTTTTAACTACATTAAAAAAAACAATTGAATTATTAAATTAGTAAGATTAAAATTTGATAAAAAAAAAAATGAATTAATAAATTAGATTAGTAAATTTAAATTCATATTAAAGAGGTTGAGATGGAATTCAGCAGCTTATGTCGGAAGTGGTTTTGACTATCGTTAAATATGTCAATGTCTCCCAATTTGCCATTCGTATCATTATAAGTGGAACAAATTCTAGAGAGAGGATGATGCAAGCCCAGATTAGTTCTACATCGAGGCAGACTGAAAGTTTTGGTCATTGGTCGCCGGGGGTAATTGTAGGGAACCGATAATTGAACCATCTCAAGTAGGTTTGCACATATAATTCTGTTATTAAGGATTTTGTGCAGAAACACTAAATCCGTAACAACTCGTCGAAGTCGCAGTGTTGACATTTTGAAAAAAGATAATCTCTCTTCATAGGGCCGTTTATGTGTAATACCGGGGGAGACAAACGCAAGGTGGCGAGTAAATGCACGTTGGATACTCTCAATGCGCTGAGATGGAGCAGCATAGACCGGATTCCAAGCAACACTAGCGTATTCAAGATGATTACGAACTAGGCAGTTATACAAAATTAATCTAACTTTCAGTGTCTTAAACCCTTTTAAATTTCTTTTGAGGAAACCTAACATTTTAGCAGCCTTTTTGACCACCTTGTCGATGTGAGCGGAAAATTGGAGCTTACTGTCCAGGATCACCCCCAGGTCACGAATCTCATCCACTCTCGACAACATCAAACCATCCAGACTATAAAAAGTATTTAGAGGTCTTACTTTTTTTGTGAATCTGATATGAAAACATTTTTTTGCATTAAGAGTCATTCTATTTTCACGACACCAAGTTTGGATGTTGTTAAGGTCGCTTTGTAAGAGAACAGTGTCGGTAAAATTCTCGACAGTTCTGAAAATCTTCAGATCGTCTGCAAATAAAGATACTTTACTATGCTGGATTCGTGTAGTGAGATCATTAATGAAGATGAGAAACAAAATAGGACCTAGATGGGACCCCTGTGGAACTCCAGAGACAGCATAATAGACGCGGGACTGGAATCCGTTCACCACGACTATCTGTGGTCTTTTTGCAAGATACGACCGAAACCAGTCAAGCAGGGAACCGCCTACACCATTTTACCTTAGTTTTGTCAGTAAAATTTGGTGGTCAACTCTATCGAAGGCATTGCTGAAATCAGTATATATAGCATCGACCTGCTGACCTTTGTCAACCTCCTGTGCAATTGAAGATACCAATGAAGCTAAATTTGTATCAATTGATCGTCCCTTTCTAAAACCATGCTGGAAATCTGACAGTCCATCCGTTACATGGGCACAGATCGAGGAGTAGACAAGTGATTCGAATAATTTTGAAAAGCAAGACAAGACGGAAATCGGACGATAGTTTCTGACGTCTGACTGGTCACCTTTCTTATGTATAGGCACTATTCTTGCTTTTTTGAACCGTTCCGGAAATATTCCTTTACCTAACGATTTATTAAATATAATTGTCAGTGGTAGGGCGATAGAAGATCCACAACGCTTAACAAATAAGGGTGGTATGTTATCAGGACCGGCTCCCTTATTTATATCTAGTTGCGAAATGCTCTTTAATACTTCGCGTTCGGTAAATACTCTGCAAGAGATGTAGTCATATGCAAACGGTACAATGTTATCGTCAGAAACAGTTGAGTTTGAGTTGTCCTCAGCATTCACAGAAGAAAACTGTCTCGCAAAAAGGTCAGCAATTTCCTGGCCTGTAGAGGCAACAGTATCTTCTGCGTTCATTATTGCTGGGAGAGTGGAAAGTCCTCCACGCTTGTCTTTCACATAACGCCAAAATATTTTGGGATTTTTGCAGATGTTCGATTCCATTTTGGTCTTATAATCACTGATACAGGTATGGATTAGTTTGTGACAGCGTTGCCGCAACAGTTCAAATTCAACCTTGTCTCGCAAATTACCATACTTGCGATATCTTCTCCTAATTCTATTCTTCTCACTCAGTAATTTTATTAAATTGTTATTAAACCAAGCGGGATATTTCGCTGTCTTAACCTTTCGTTTGGGGATGTGATTTTCAATAATACCATCCAAAAAACCATAAAATGCTGAAGTCATCATATTCACATCCTCGTAACCGCCCAGAACCTCCTGCCAATCAATTTTCTTGATTTCATCCGTAATTGTCGTGTAATCAGCCTTGTAAAAATTACGATCCTCTCGTTTATTTGGAAGGAGATTCCGTATGCAGTCATAGCCAGAATGTGGTAAGGTTAATAAAATATTGGGATGATAAGCATCCAGTTTGCTCAGTACATCTAATGGTGTTGAAACAAATGCATTTTCAATATTACTAAGTGCAAGATCTAAAATTTTGCCATCGCTGTTAGTAATACCATTTAATTGGTATAAGTTATTCAGTGACATAAAATCAGTTAAAGAATAACCCAATTTATTGCCATAATTGGTAGGTGTCATATGAGTACATTTATCTTGATTGTTCCAAGCAATGAAGTCCAAATTAAAGTCACCCAATATGACCACCACGTCCATGTTACTTATCATTGCATCAACATTATCCAGGAAGTGTTGCTGTTTTTCCAATTTGGCGGGCGATGGCAAATACACTGCACAAATCGAGAGAATTCGCTTACGCCCATTTAATTTCAGCTCGACATTGACCCATAAATCTTCACAGTCGCTTTCCCAGTTCTGTAATCTTGTCGAAGCAAATTCCCGCGACACAGCGACCAACACACCACCGCCATCTAACTTTGTTTTTTCAGAACAAACACGATCCCTACGGTGTACAATGTAACGTGAGTCTATAAATTCGCTATTACAAATGCTAGAGTTAAGCCAGGTTTCGGTAAAAACAATTACTTTAAAGTCATTTAGAAGGATGTTTTTCAAAACATCATTGGTCTTAGTTCTAATACCACGAATATTTTGATAATAGATATCGAACTTAAGAACGATACACCATATCTATTTTGAAACCATAGCAACATGGATATCATTTGATCAACTTCAAATCTTCAGTGTTACGAATAAGTAAAAATGTGCCAGACTCGTCCTTACGAACAAATATACGACCGTTACGTACCCACGTAAACTTGTAGCCTAGTTCCTTAGCTTTAAGGCGCGCAGCAGCATGCAGAGATTTGTTCGTAGGTGACAAATGTTCACTCACATAGACTGGTCTTCGAGCATCACCAAATCCCAGGTGTTGAGAACTAAGTTTATCATTTGGGTTCTTTTTGTTGAAGACAGTGACGCAGGCAAGAACCGTATCTCGATGACGGGGGGTACGAAACTTAGCAATTACTGTACGGGGCCTATCGCTATCCTTATTCAATTTAGAAACCCGTGTCACATGGAGTATATCTTCTTCGGCAATGGGGGCAGCAATGACCTTTGCAAGTTGCTCCATCGTTTGGACCAAGTTCTCAGTTTTGTGCTCAGGGATCCCATTTACTTCAATATTACACTCCCTCGTGTTTTGTTCTAGCATATTGAGTCGGTTGGATACATCGGCTAATGTAGACTTCAGTTTCCTATTATCCCCCTGAAGTTCATCTATCACATGAATTTTCTCCTCCAAACTAGTCTTCATCTCCTCGTATTTTTGGTTGTAGAAAGTCATAGAATCCTTTAATTCGTTTACTTGGTCGTTTAAAACTTTCAGCTGCACAGATACCAAGTCTCGTATTGTAGCGTGAAGTGTATCAGATAAAATGACACGCAGCCTTTCTTCTGTTAAGAAATCATTGTGACTTGGAGAATCTTTCTGCTCGCGTCTCGCTCGTATAGTGACATTATCGGCCTGCAACGGAGACGTCAGGTTATAAGATCCCGGTGGCGAAGCTACGCATTTCTTACCAACAGCAGTTTGCGACGAGGGCACCTCTGTGACAATATTATCAGCAGTAGTTGGTTCGGAACGCGCTGCCTGGTGAATCGGTGTGTTAAAATTCCCTGTTTTGGGCTGTTTGCAACTACATTCAGGACACTTCCAGTTACGTTTCCGCTCCTGATTCAAAGCATAAAAGCTATTAAAACGCTGGATGCTTACTTTAGCACACTCAATGTCATATCTTTTTTCACATGTCATACATTCCAAGAATTCCTTATTTTTTAATATGGCAGGACAGCCCGCACATTTGCCATAATTCGGAGCCATTATTGAACACGGTGGTCGTGTATAGTTAAATTACCCGTGAATGTTGAAATATTTTGCCTATGGCAACACTGGTTAACTGTCAATATCAATATGACAATTTTTATTCGAGTTTGGCAATTCAATTTAATGTTTGATGCAGGTAGTTTGGTTTATTCTTCTTGACAGACCCAGAATAAATTGATATGAGGGTAGAAAAATCACACTTAGCTTTTCATATTTCCACGATTATAGCTGAAGATGATCTTGTATAACCACACCACAGGCCAAACCGATGGAGCACAACACTTTAACTATCTGAATAAGAGGTGTAGTGAGTTATTTGAGAAAATGTTAAGAGCGCAATGTTTACAGTTCACGTTTTTTTTTTTTTTTTTTTTTTTTTTTTTTTTTTTTTTTTTTTTTTTTTTTTTTAGAGTTTGGGTATTTCAAGAATCAATATTAAGTATATATTTTTTAAATATTACCTATTTCTTGAAGGAAACTTGCAGAATTTTACTATCTAAAAGCAAAATTGTTTTGATAAGATGACAACCCTGAAGCAATGGAATCTGTAAGAGGATATAACTTTCCAGATACTTTTATAAAATATTTGTGTTTTTGTACTTGTTCCCCTCAGCGTTCATATTTAGCTTAAGAATTTACCTATCAATAATAATAGGTTCCTGAAACTGAGAATAATATTAAGCCCGCAGGGTAAGTTTATGGCGAGCATTTCGTTTTTCAGGGAAGATTGGACCTATATTTGGCAACACTGCATGTCACTGTCAGTCAGTGGCTTTTTTGGCGGGATTTCATCGAGTGCGGTTGGCGTCTTATTTTAATTATTCTTAAATTCGTTCATAGTGGATATTGTGAAATAAAATTGGTGTGGTTTTGTGTAACAACTGTCTGCGTAACTGAAGAATTAGTGGAATCGTTAAAATATACGCTATTCCGGTCAAGTGGACGTGAGAATTTTATTGTAGTGTTGACTACCTCACAGAAGCTTATCGAAAAAACAACTCGATACATTTCGTGCCAAACACTCCAAGAAACATTAGAATGCGTCACACCGACATTCTAATGTAAAAAGTAAAAAGAAAAACAGAATAATTTAACTTAAGACTAGGCTGTATGGGCATTGTTCCCTTTGCCTTCCCTGAAAAGGGAGAACGTAACCAAAAAAAAAACAGTCAGTCCATCTTCGTTCAATTGTCAAAAAGCTGTGTTCAAAACAAAACGAACAGGCGAAATAAAAAATCTCAAAATGGGATTTTATTACACATTAGTAGACTTTTCACCTGTATATAACTAATTATTGTTGTTTTTAGTTTCATAACACAAGTGCGGAGTTATCAACGAGAACCGTAATTAATTCAATAATGTTATGTACACAAACTCTTAGAATCGTGTTAGTTGTGATTATTTTGCCGAAAAGTGTGATATTGCTGAAAAATGGCTTAGCCCTTACACCTCCAATGGGCTGGATGTCATGGGGCTACTATATGTGTGGCGTGAAATGTGACGAAAATCCCGATAAATGTTTAAAGTAAGCTGAATGAAGTTGCATTTTCATAATTTAGTTATTGCATTTTTCTTATCACCGTTGCCTAATTGGATTTCTGTTTATATGCCAATACCTAACCGGTACTTTATTGTACCTACATAATTGTTTGTTTTGTAAGCTTTTTCCCTGTGTATATCTGAGTAATAAAGTGTATCTGTGTATCTACTTTCATTTACTAACTTGAAACAAGATTAATATAAATTTCATAAAAATATGTAATAACAAAAGTATATTATTTTCGTTTCACCCAAGCCAACAATGAAATTGGCAATATACATTTATGAAAACATTCAGTATTATGCAAATGTGTTTTTAGACATATTATTTGTAACTATGAAAATAATGTTCTCTAATACGATCTTTTCAGTGAGAATCTCATTCTATCTGTCGCAGACACTTTCTACAATGAGGGATACCAGGAGGCTGGTTATGAGTACATCATAATTGATGACTGCTGGTCTGAGAAAGAACGAGACCTAGATGGAAGACTTGTACCTGACAAGAAGAGATTTCCCAATGGGATGAAGTATATTGCAGATTATGTTGGTTACTTTCAAATTCAAAAGCCTTTTATTGCTTATATATGTACATTTTAAATACTTAAAAGCACATACACAAGCGTGTCCTGCTGACACAAAGGCCTCCTCCAGCTTCCACTCAAATCTGTCTCTAGCCACTCTAAGCCATAGGATGCTGCTACCAATCTTATGTTATCTGACTACCTTTTGAGTGGTCTTCCGCCTTTTAGTAATGAGTCGCCATTCTGTGGTCTTCCTTATCCATTTCTCCCTTATTTCTCTTATTATGTGGCCTGCCCACTGCCATTTTAGATGTTGGCTACTTTATTGTTTTTTAATATTGACAGCTTTCTATGTTTTACTAATGCTGTTGCTCATACCACCTGATACCAAAGACACTAACAACCACACCCCATATGAAGTTCAAAGTGAATGAGGTCACATCAAACATGAAATAGCAACATTAGTTGCTGTCTGTTGTCTGTTGTCAGTGTAATCATTTTACATCATAATTTTTTTTAAACTAACCAGAGCCCCTACCAGTCGTAAGAACAAACTGGCAAATTCCATACAAAATTTAAAAATGACTGATGATTATAGATTTGTCAAAGTTTGTTCTAGGCACAATAAGCAGTTTATGTTTCTTTATTAACTTTAATACTAAAACAGAAAAAAAGGAATAAAACTGTTTTGATTCTATTAAATCATGTCTGCTATAATACTATGTACTATTGGACCTTCTTTTTTGCATAAGTTGTTTGAATAAGTCATGATTTTCTCGACAATGTATTTAATTGTCGACAGATACACAATCGAGGGTTGAAATTTGGTATGTATACGAATATAGCCGCAGTTACTTGCATGCACTACCCAGGGTCTAAGGACTACTTCGACATTGATGCTCAGTCCTTCGCAGAATGGGGAGTGGACTACTTGAAAGTAGACGGATGTTTTGTGAAGGAAAATGATCTTAATACAGGTAACTACTAATATCTATGCACAGGTAAATTTATTAAAATAAATTACACTTTAATGTGTTACTTTATTAGTAAAGGTTAAAGGTGCTTAATGTAATGATTTATGATAAACTTCCTATTAGTAGCAAAGTATATGTTGATGATTGATTACTAGTAAAAGCATTATTATCTTCTGATAATCAATATATATAATATTATATAATACTAAGACCTGTTTTTAAAGAGTGATATCTTGAGAAGTTATTGTTAAGAGGACAGCCTTTATTATACTACGAGTAATAAAGAGTCTTTACACTCTTCATAGATCTCTATGACTATAAAAAGAGAGTAGTTGATATTGTCAGCTGTCTTGTAAAAATATATTTAGGTCTTGTGTGTCTTTTATGTAAATACCAAATAAAACTATTATATTTAATTATATTTCCAACTTTGTTTATGTTAATTGCCCATATAAAACTTAATATGGTAGCAGAGCGTTTACAGGAAAGAAAATGTCGATCGTAAATATTTCTCCACTTGGAAAAGAAAATTATAACACATGGGTAATTCATGCAAAAGCATATTTAATAAAAAACAAATTATGGAAATATGTAACGAAGTATCCTGATGAGAATTCAGATACTGAAAAAGAAAATGATGAACTTGCGAAAGCCGAGTTACTGTTACTGATCTCATCAACTGAATTAAAAGAAGTAAAGAACTGTCTCCACGCAAAAGACGTTTGGAAAAAACTCAAAGGTGTATATGCCAGTCAAGGGCCTGCCAGAAAAGCAACTCTATTAAAGAAATTGATATTGACTAGACTAGGCATTGATGCAGATGTTCGGGAACACTTGAAGGACTTCATGGATACGGTAGACAAACTAAAAGACTTAGATATAGAAATTAATAGTGACTTATTGTCCATAATGATGCTATATAGCCTCTCAAACGATTATGAGAATTTTAGAATTGCAATAGAATCGCAAGACTCACTAATAAGTCCAGAAAAGTTAAAAATTAAAATAATTGAAGAAAGTGATGCTCGCAATAGAAACATCCAACCTAATACAAGTTCAAGTAATGTCGAAGAAACATTTTATGCATTCTGCAAAATATGTAAGAAAAAGGGACATGAACAAGAAAAATGTTGGTATAAAAATAAAAACAAAAAGAACAAGAAAAATTTAAACTATAGACAAAATAGTTTAAATCAAAAGGAAAAGAATAACTTTACATGTTTTTCTTTATATCAACAAGAAATGAAAAACGGTTGGATATTGGATAGCGGATGCACGTCTCACATGACATTTTCAGATAAACCATTTACAAATATGAGAAATGTGAACCAAACATTAAAATTAGCATCAAAAGAGCACACGGCTGAAATCAAAGGATCAGGTCCGGCCCAAATAGAGACTAGGCAAGGACTAATAGGCATAGCAAATGCTCTTTATGTACCGAGTCTATGTACTAACCTTCTATCAGTCGGAAAGCTAACTGACGCTGGACATACTGTAACATTTACTAAAGAACGAGCAATCATAAAGGATAAAAAGCGCAATGTTGAAATAAACGTTAAAAGATCTAACGATGGCTTATATTATCTACGTACCAAAAATAATAATACTGATCGTCGGGAAAAAGCTAATGTTACTCAGACAAAAGAAAACAAATCTGATGATATACAATTATGGCATAGAAAATTAGGACATATGTCAGAGAAAAACATGAAGCATGCTTTGAGTAATAATTTACTGATTGGGTTAAATTTTGACCATAAAAACAAATTGGACGATTGTGAAATTTGTATTCAAGGAAAAATAAGTACCTAGCAAGTCTAGCACAATTACCCGTACCAATCAGCGACTCGAAATTGTACACAGCGATGTATGTGGACCCATGAAAACCGCTTCATTAAATGGAAATAAATACATGGTTACATTCATTGATGATTTTTCAAGATACTGTTATATATATTTTATACAACACAAAAATGAAGTACTTGAAAAGTTTAAGGAATATAAGAAAATTGTTGAAAACTTTACTGGAAATAAAATAATATTCCTACAAAGTGACAATGGCACAGAATATTGTAACCGAGACTTTAACATATTCCTGAAAGAGAATGGTATATCAAGAAGATTGACAGCACCATACACCCCTCATCAAAACGGCATTGCCGAAAGAAAAAATAGAACCTTGATTGAAAAGGCGAGATGTATGATGTTAGAGTCGAAAGCACCATTACATCTGTGGGCAGAAGCTGTTCACACAGCCAATTACTTATCAAACAGGAGTATTAATCAAAGTATTGGACAAGTAACACCATTTGAATTGTGGGTAGGAAGGAAACCCTGCATAAACCATTTACATATATTTGGTGAAAAAAGCTTCATCTTAATAAAAGAAAATGGTCGTCAAAAATTTGCTTCAAAAGCCATCCCTGGAATGTTCGTGGGATATTCAGAAGTATCCAAAGCTTTTAGAATTTATGTGCCATCCAAAAGAAGAATTTTAATTTCCAGAGATGTACGGGTTTTAAGAAAAATGTTCTATGACGATGACAAAGGATCTTGCAGAAGTAATCCTTTCCCCGAAATTGATGGGACACTCAAGGAAGAAGTAAAAATTTACAGCGAACCTAGAAATACTAATGATGAAGAACAACCTGTCCAAAATGAGACGATTGATAGTTCCGGTATACTCTGTCCTGAAGAAATTGAAAATGAAACAAATGGAAACTCAAACAAATGAGAATATAGATGATATACGAAATGATTCTTTAAATGAGGCGACTAACGTTGAATCGGATGGAAGAAATCTTCGTGACAGGTCGCGTATTGTCCCACCAAAAAGATTTGAGGACTATGTTTTAACTGCTATAAATGAGGATGCTATGGAAGAACCTCAGACATTCAGAGACGCTATGAAAAGCAAAGAATATAGCAGTTGGAAACAAGCCATGCAGAGTGAAATGAACTCGCTAAATGAAATGAATACTTAGAAGAGGAAATCTACATGAACCAACCTGAAGGCTTCAATGATTGCACAGAGAGAGTATGCAAGCTGAAAAGAAGTCTTTATGGCCTAAAACAAGCGCCTTTGTGCTGGAACACCTGTATATCGCAGTATCTGGTGGAATCTGGATTTAAACAATGCACTAATGACCCTTGCCTTTATATACGAAACCAAATACTAATTGCACTCTACGTTGACGATGGATTAGTAGCGTCAAGTAGTGAAGCAGCAGGCGTTAATTTCATAAAGGAATTAAAGCAGCGGTTCAAAATCACAACAAAACCAGCCAGCTATTTTCTTGGTCTCGAAATTGGTAAATCTAAAGATGGTGATATAACTGTACACCAAAGGTCTTACACCAAGAAAATATTAGAAAGGTTTGGCATGATTGACTGCAAAAGCGTTCCATCTCCTGCTGTAAAAACCTTGAAGGAGGATGATGACAAAGGAACCAACATAAACTTTCCTTATCGCCAAGCGGTAGGTGCGCTGGCATATCTAATGGTCGCCACAAGACCTGACATCAACTATGCAGTGAGTATGGCTTCAAGACATCTTGAAAATCCAACGCAGATGGATATTTTAAAAGTAAAAAGAATTCTAAGATATTTGAAGGGAACTATGGACACCGGACTAATCTTTAGAAATGAAAAAGTCAGAAAGCTAATCTGCTACAACGATGCAGATCACGGTGGAGACTCTGTTACTGGACACTCTACTACAGGCATGGTGTTCTTGTTTTCTGGACCAATTTTCTGGAAGAGTCAGAAACAATCTTCTGTAGCCATATCTTCTACAGAAGCTGAGCTTATAGCGCTCTCCGAAACTGCCCGGGAAACAATATGGCTACAAGGACTCTTAGAAGAACTGACAGAAGTCGAAAAGCCTGTCATATATGTAGATAATGAATCTGCGATAAAATTATCAGAAAATCCTCCCTGCGAATATCATAAAAGAACAAAACATATAAAGCTCAAGCATTTTTTCATAAGAGAATGTGTCACCAAGGGTGAACTATCTGTGAAACAAGTTTCCTTGGAAAAGCAACTCGCCGATATGTTCACAAAACCTCTCTTTGGACCAAGACTGCGAGATCTAAGTAAAAGAATTGGACTCCAAGGTTTGAACTGTATCAGTCCCTAAAAGTCCTGGGGATGTTAAGAGGACAGCCTTTATTATACCACGAGTAATAAAGAGTCTTTACACTCTTCATAGATCTCTATGACTATAAAAAGAGAGTAGTTGATATTGTCAGCTGTCTTGTAAAAATATATTTAGGTCTTGTGTGTCTTTTATGTAAATACCAAATAAAACTATTATATTTAATTATATTTCCAACTTTGTTTATGTTAATTGCCCATCAAATATAAAACTTAATAGTTATTTTGCTATTTTCATACCAAACAGCATCTCAAAGATCACTCTCGGAGTTAAGATTGTTCTATTATTACGGCCCTAAATTCCATAAACAATACTTAAATCATGATTATAAAGATTGAGATTTTTATATCTATATATATATATACTAGCTGTCCCAGCGAACTTCGTACCGCCATAAAAAAATAGTTGTTTGTAAAGGGTTGAAAATTTAGGGTTATATGTATTTACTAATGTGGTATCATAAAAAAATAAAAAAAAATTATCTAAAATTGAAAAAAAAAATTAGGGGTGGATTAGCAAGAAGCGTGTTGGAAATGCACTCCGGAAATAAAAAAAAGAAATAATTTGGAAATTCATCCCCCAGAAATAAAACAAAAAATTCTGGAGAAAAGACGCTTGCGAAGAGTGTGGCATCAAACCAGGCATCCAATGGATAAAACTGCCTTGAACAAATCTATTGCTGAACTTAAAACTGCATTATCGGACTTGCACCATAACACCCTGCAGTCAAAACTGGAATCTCTAACAGCTACATCTGCCTCAAATTATTCTCTTTGGAAGTTTACCAAATCCTTAGATCGACCTCAAGAGGCGAAACCTCCTATAAAAACTGCTACAAACAAATGGGCCAGAAGTAAACAGGAAAATGCAAATGTATTTGCGGAACATCTCTCAAAAGTGTTTACTCCCAATGAAATAGGAGATGTGAACTTTGATAAGAGCGTGCAGAGCTTTTTAAACCAAGACTTGCAGTTGGACTTGCCACCCAAGCCAACTTCAACTAGAGAGGTATGGGCCCTAATAAAGAGTCTCAAGGACAAAAAAGCGCCAGGCTTCGATTTAATTACGAAGGAAGTTTTAAAAAACCTCCCAAGGAAAGCAGTAATCTTTTTGGCAACGGCATCTTGCGAGTACAACATTTCCCGAGTATATGGAAGATATCACAAATAATAATGATTCGGAAATTGGGAAAACCAGCGTATGAAATTACTTCTTATCGTCCGATAAGTCTATTACCAGTTTTATCGAAGTTGTTCGAGAGGGTCCTAAAATCTAGACTTATGCCAATGCTTGCACAAAATAAAACAATTCCGGACCATCAGTTTGGATTCAGGGACCTTCATTCGACTGTCGAACAGGTTCACAGAGTGTGCAGTGTGATACGAAATACTCTAGAAGATAAAGAATATTGCTCATCTGCATTCCTAGACATACAACAAGCTTTCGACAGAGTCTGGCATGATGGATTGCTCTTCAAAATCAAAGCAAATATCTCACACAGCTACTACCTTCTCATGGTGTCATACCTGTCGAATCGGCTCTTTCAGGTAAAGGAGGATAATTTCACATCGCTTTTCTATGAGATAAAAGCAGGAGTGCCCCAAGGATCAATTCTTGGCCCCATACTCTACACGATTTATACATCGGATCTACCGGAAGTACCAGGAACTACAATGGCAACCTATGCTGACGATACAGCCATTTTGGCAAAGAATGACAGCCCAGTCTTAGCTTCAGCAATGCTTCAGAAGGGACTAGATGACGTAAATACCTGGCTAAACAAATGGCGGATAAAAGCTAGTGCTGATAAATCTGTACATATTACCTTCACACTGAGACGGGATAACTGCCCACCAGTTCACCTTGGCAGAAATATACTTAAACAAAATGATTCCGTAAGGTACCTTGGCATGCACTTGGATCGGCGACTTACATGGAAAACCCATATAAAAACAAAAGTAGACGAGCTCAACCTCAAATATAGAAACCTGTACTGGTTGATAGGACGCAATACTAAACTGTCTATCGACAACAAATTGCAAATTTATAAAAGCATTCTGAAGCCGTGTTGGTCGTATGGCATTCAGCTGTGGGGAAGTGCTAGTGACTCGAATATCAACATATTGCAACGATTCCAAAATATTGTCTTAAGAACCATGTCAGATGCCCCATGGTTTATCACTAATAACGAGCTACATGATAATCTGCAAATAAGAACCATAAGGGAAGAGATCCAACAATGTACACAGTCATACAAGAGGAGGCTTATTAATCACCCGAATGACCTAGCTTGCCAACTAATTAAAGCAAAAAGAAAGACACGGTTGAAACGCCGTGTAATACTAGAAACCGACTAGACCTAGTTAATGTAGCAGGAGTAGATATCTCCAATGGGAGATACACTTAGGAAAAGACATCAAATTCACACAACAAATTTGCTTATAGTCTTCGACTGATTGCAGATCTTGAGAGGAATAAAAAAAAAAAAAAAAAGGGGGTGGATTAGATTAACATTTAAGGGGATGAAAAATAGATTTTGTCCGATTCTCAGACCTACCCAATATGCACACAAAATTTTATGAGAATCGATAAAGCCGTTTCGGAGACGTTTAACCACAAATACCGCGACACGAGAATTTTATATATTAGATATATATACATATATATAAAATTCAAAGGTGACTGACTGACATAGTGATCTATCAACGCACAGCCCAAACCACTAGATGGATCGGGCTGAAATTTGGCATGCAGGTAGATGTAATGACGTAGGCATCCGCTAAGAAAGGATTTTGATCAATTCTACCCCCAAGGGGATAAAATAGGTAATGAAAGTTTGTATGAAACTTTGTCAATTTTAAACCGATCGGGCTGAGACTTTGCATGCAGGTATAAGAAGAATCATAGATGAATGACATTGTGTATAATACAAGCCTGAGAACAAAAATTGTAGTCTACACTTCAGCTCTACATCGAAGCGAAGCGAGGGCGGGCCGCTAGTTTAATAATACAATAATCCTTAATTTTTAGGTTACATTGAATTGGGGCAGGAATTAAAGAAAGCTGGTAGACCAATGGTATATTCATGTAGCTGGCCTTACTACATACAATACATTCACAACAAAAAGGTGAGTAAAAGTTACAAATAATCTTCTCTAATTTATTAACATAATCTACGAGCCATAAGAAGAAAATATTTCTAATGTGGTTCAACTCAACAGCTACAACTCTCTAAAAGTCTATTGTGGTTGGTCTGGAGCCTGAGTACTTTTTTAATTTTATTTCGACCTATCCATATTGCTTTAAAACAATTTTTGTCTTAACCTTATATTTTTTTACTATGACATTCCCAAATCAACTTTTGGGAAACCTATGGTTTTTCTACTCTACTGGGAAATCCACTCTGCCAAGGTAAATATTTCATCCAGCCATATTTTAAGAATATTCCTTTCACTGTAACTACACATTTCCATCACAGCCGGATTACTCTCCAATAGCGAAGCATTGTAATATGTGGAGGAACTACCATGACGTTGTGCTGACATGGCCAGCATTAAAGGTCATTATGAAACATTACCAGAATGAATACGATACAATCAGTCCTTACCATGGCCCGGGGCATTGGAACGATCCAGATATGGTGAGTTAATTGTTTTTTATTCAGTACATGTAATCTCCTGGATACATGGTTAAACATACATTTAATAAAAACTACATTTATTTCATACAATAATGTCAAAATGAAATTGACTTCGATATTTATCTATGGGTTAAATCTAGATTTAGTTGAATCGAGATTTACAAATTTGCTGCAAGTGGGCCTAAATTTACAAAATTCCACACAGATCATCTTCGGCACTGGTGTATTGAACGAGAATCAAAGTCGGGTCCATCTGGCTGTGTACCTTATGCTTTCTGCTCCTATATTGCTCAGCTGCGATATGAACAAGATTACCCGGTATGAGAAGAAACTCTTGCAAAATCTAGACTTGATTGCTATCGGCCAAGACATGTTAGGAGTTATGGCTAAACCTTATCAGGTATAATATATTTTGCCTGTCATATTTATATATATGTATATATTGAAGATATATATTACCTATGTAATTTTAATATCTGTGTATTCTATTAATATATGAAATCCCCAAGTTTACTTACATTTCTTGTTAATGCACCCCCATTTGCAATAAAGTATAAAAAAATGGATTTGTATGAATTTTAGCGACCATATTGTTTTTTAAGCCTGGTTTAAAATATCTTGTAACTGAAGAGAAAATTGTGGGAAAAAATTGCCAAAATATGACCTTTGTAATTCTTCTATCAAAGAGTCATTGTGAGTTCATGAAATGCATTGTAGTTTGTGTAACATTTATGTTATTAATCTCTAGTATCTTAAATACTTAATTAAATAAAAATATAGACTTTAGGTAATACATTCCTTCTCATTATAAACTTTTATTTCATAAAATCTCACACTTCTCTATAAGTAAAATGTGTTCAAAAATGGAGACATAGTATCCCCTCTTCTCTTTTAGTGGATGGTTTCTGCCACGAGTTGAGAAAATTATTTTCATATTTTCATTTTTAATTTACACATCTAATATATAAATAGGTGTGTAGAGAAACTATTCAGGATTGATTTTAGTCATAAATGAAGCCTGGATGTACTGTAGAACTCGATTTTTTTTTTATTTTCCCGTTGTCAAAAACAATATGGAGGGCTGCACAGACCAAGGGTATAGTTTGTACCCCATCAGTTTAAGCAGAAGTATTAAAATAATGATTTTTCTTTTTAAGCTAGAACAATCCGTAACATTATGGGTGAAACCCCATCTACCCAAGAAGGGGGATATTTTCCACTCTTTCTCCTTCGCTGTAGTCAACTTGGATGACCAACAACATCTGATATCCATCTTCCCGTTGGCTTATGGAGTTAATTCCACCGATGGTTATTCCGTTATGGTAATTATATATTCACATCAGACTTTTAGCCCCTTTATCAACGATATTAAATACCCTAGATACACCATGAACGCTCAAAATGTGTCCCAATCAAGAAGTGCTCCACTCCACTCAAGCACTTCTTGGTTCACAGTCACGCGCGGGCCGTGGAAAGTCAAGATGCCACAGAGCTCGTTAAAAAAATGTGAAAAAAATACTTATAATACGTAAAGTGGCGTTTTTTCGACAGGTATCTAATCAATGTTTGTTAATTTAACGCAACGCGGGCGGCCGCTAGTAAATAAATGAAAAATATACATCAATTTCATGCCTTGTCAATACAGGATCAATATCTTACACAATATTTTATTTTTCAGGATGTGTTTGCGAATACTTTCAAAAACAACATTACATTGAAAGAATCGTTTGAAGTCGTCGTGCCTCCAGAAGGTAAGGAATTCTCTCTCTAATCTATCGATCTGTTTTTTTAATGCTTAATAGGCAAGGCGTTTGACCACGAACTCGCCTGATGGAAAGCGATGATCAGGCCTAAGATGGTACACGCCTGCCTAGAAGATGCATGTTCATTCTGGCCCTGAAGATGTCCAGATTATTATATATATATATTCCTATTATTATTACAAATTTCAGCCAATCGCATTGTAACTGAATTCAAAAAGAAATACATACGTACTACAATTTGTATATCACTTTATTATTTTTATCACGTAATAAGACATTCCTTTCATTTAAAATGCTATGTTATTGAGCAAAAAATAATCCTTATGATTAACCCTTTCGATGGCTATCATAAAATATGTCGTGTTTTTTTTTCGAAATTTCACGAGTTTGGTTTCCAGTTGTATCAGGCGATTTTAAAAAAATCTGTGAATGCAGTTCTAGTTATTATTAAAAATAAAATGATGTCTTCTTTCAGTAAAATATCCTATATTTAATATACTTTCCCTCCGTGTGAGCTTGCCGTGGGACGCCCTGTATATATATATATGTCGGAGAGCGGCTATTCACTTTGTCATTAGCGTTCACGGGCTTAGTGGGCATCATTGGGGCTTGATACAGGCACAAAACCAAACAATCACTCAATCACTGTTCGTATAATTTTAATTACGTTCTTTTAACAAAAAAAAATAAAAATGTTTCACACACACTTTACTTTACACTAAGGACACTTAAATAACGTAACAACCGAGCAGTGGGTTCAAGGTACCAATCTGACTTCACTGAACTACCGTATCACCTTTCTAGAAATGAACCGCTACGATCTGTTCCTCGCCTTTAAATATGCGCAAAAACTACCTCCCACTTGTGAAAATCAAGATGGCGCCTCGACCCCACTCGAGGCACGTGCTCTGCTCTGATTGGACGCGACATAAAATGATTTATTAGCGACTTTTATTCAATTACTAAAGTTACTGAACAATTCAAAAATTGTAATTAATTGAAATAATTATTTAAAGTGTAAACAATAGCCTTTTCACGCTTGGCATTCAACAATCAACCCTATTCATCACATCCTCCGACACGGCCATCCTGACCTATCACACGTCCTCGTGTGATGTTGAAGAACCAGCATGCTCGCTGTCTGTAAAAAAAGAAATGGTTCATGTACAGTACATCGGCCAATCCTGACCTGAAATATTTGCTATTCTAATTGAAATAAGCCTTACAATTCATCGTTACGTATGGAATTTGTACCCCAAGAACCTCACTGTTGAATACTCAATTAAGTACTTTCCAAACAGCCACTACGCCGTTACACTTAACAGCCACGTCTCCGTTACACTTAGCAACCACTTCACCGTTGCACTTAACAGCCACCTCGCCATTGCACTAAACAGTCACCTCGCCGTTACACTAAACAGTCACCTCGCCGTTACACTTAACAGCCAACTCGCCCTTACACTTAACAGCCAACTCGCCCTTACACTTAACAGTCACCTCGCCGTTACACTTAACAGTCACCTCACCGTTACACTTAACAGCCACCTCGCCGTTGCACTTAACAGACACTTCGCCGTTACACTTAACTAGACTCCTTGCTTAACAACATTTTAATGGCCTCCTCGCCTCTATGGCGTCATAGCATAAACTTTACAACCACCACGCTACTCAAGTCTTACAAACAACTCATTGTGCCAACACGCTATACATTTAAATACTTCAAACACCCATATACAGTCTTTCTATTAACCAACAATCAGCCCCGGAATCAAAGCAAAATGAAAACTGCTCACCAAATTATATGATCACCCCAGTGACGGGTTTCACTCCGCATACGTCCACTCGTTTTACACTGCTGGATGTAACAGCAGACTAAGCTGCCGCTTGTAGCTGGCCAGGTTTTCGTGCATCGTGATGCGATGTGACCCTCAACACCACGTCTGTAGCAGCTAACCGGGGGCCTCGTCGTAGCCGCAGCCGTATTGTTGTCGTCAGAAGTCGAAGTTGATTGCTGCTTGTCACGCGAAGGACTGAAACATTCATAAGATTTTTTCAGAAGCATAACATTTTGTTGAAACCGTAATTAACCTAGGGAAATTGTTATCTCGCATGGCACTAGCAACGGTTTTGTTAATTCATGATATCTCCGCTTGCGGTAAGAATATGCCATAAGTTCACGTTGCATTTTACTGCGGGTAGTCATATCTTCAGAAAAAAATATTTCGTTGTAACTGTGGCTCAGCCTGCCCCATGTGTGCAAGTATTACAGATTAGGAAAAGCTATTTGCGAAAACCATGACGCGGCGGAACATCTCATAGCCCTACTAAGTAAAAGAATAAGTTTACTTCCCTGTATATCACGATCCGTTGCTTGCTGTTTTGTTGCACTTCAAACAAACAGAGCTTGCAAAACGTCGTTGACCCCGGTTGAATCGTGCATATTTTGTGCCTGCACCGATCCCGCTTCTGATGTCGGAGAGCGGCTATTCACTTTGTCATTAGCGTTCACGGGCTTAGTGGGCGTCATTGGGGCTTGATACAGGCACAAAACCAAACAATCACTCAATCACTGTTCGTATAATTTTAATTACGTTCTTTTAACAAAAACAAAATAAAAATGTTTCACACACACTTTACTTTACACTAAGGACACTTAAATAACGTAACAACCGAGCAGTGGGTTCAAGGTACCAATCTGACTTCACTGAACTACCGTATCACCTTTCTAGAAATGAACCGCTACGATCTGTTCCTCGCCTTTAAATATGCGCAAAAACTACCTCCCACTTGTGAAAATCAAGATGGCGCCTCGACCCCACTCGAGGCACGTGCTCTGCTCTGATTGGACGCGACATAAAATGATTTATTAGCGACTTTTATTCAATTACTAAAGTTACTGAACAATTCAAAAATTGTAATTAATTGAAATCAAATTAAATTAAGATTTTATAAAATTATTTAAAGTGTAAACAATAGCCTTTTCACGCTTGGCATTCAACAATCAACCCTATTCATCACATCCTCCGACATATATATATATATAATGCGATTCAACTAAGAATAGGACCGACTCGGCGCCATATTGTGACCATAAAATGAAAAATATGCCGTGCAATTTTTTTATAGCGTGTGCCAGGTGGCAGCAGTGAGCTGAAAGGTTCACTCATGCGTCAAATTGCATATGTTGTTATTGCCTATGAACCAATTTAAATGCTCCCTAGATGGATTCGCATGAAAATAACAAGTTTTTGTTTCTCTATTATACCTAAAAGTAACTTACTAACATTCTATCTTTAGATACATTGTCATATTATGTATGTATGTCAGTAAGTTACTTTTAGATATAATAGAGCGACAAAAACTTTTTATTTTCATGCGAATCTATCTAGGCAGCATTTAAATTGGTTCATAGGCAATAACAACATAATAATATGCAATATATTCTTATGAGAACAGATAATGTCTGCATATTTTTGGTTTTGTTTCACTGTCTTAGTCAATTACTAACACAGTGAAACAAAACCAAAAAAATCTCATATTTTCTTTTGTAATCACGTCTGTTCGTTTTTGAACCTTATTGTAATATGTGGATAGTCGTAATTGGCTTTCAAATTGTAAATCATTGATTGTTATTCCAATATATAGATAAAGTGTTTACTGTCCCTTAAATAAATAAAATAAATAAATAAAACTTGTAAAATAAAATAGACCTCATTCTACAGTGGCGCCAACTAGCGTCATGAATTGTCTTAAAAAAATCCTCTTTGAAATCAGCTAAAATATTACCTTTTTATTACTATTACTAAAACGGTCAGTTTCAATAATCAACCTCCAGTAAAAGGTAAGGATAATTTGGGTCCGTTTATTAGGAACGGTTGTAATTAACGTTTTAATAATAAAAATATGTAATGTCGTAAATATGAAGATATCGAATCTCTTATACAATAAAATAATAAAAAATGATTTGATTATTGAAACTGGCCGTAAGATTTAACTGTCCGTCTGTCACGGGGCTGTAATCTCACAAACCGTGATTGCTGGACAATTGAAATACTAAAAATGGAATCCCTCCCCCCTTGTGATTTTTCGTGATTTTTTATGAACCCCCCCCCCCCCCCCTTCGAGCCTCAGGTGATTAATGGACAACCCCTTATTCACTCTAGTTAATGTTATTTTTTGTTTCAGATGTGATTCTATACACTTTATTTCCGTTATGAGCCTTACATACATATTTAGAAGAGATTACAAAAATAATACTGGCTACAAGAAATAAGTCTGTTTAATGTAAGCAGTAATTTTTATAGACATTGGTGTCGATTCTGGCATGATTCGCTAAACCTAAACTTAAATTAGAAAACAGTGTATCCTTATCATTCTGTATACATGCGTCATACTCGTGAACGGGTGCTGCCAGCGGAGATAATAAATAATAAATAAATAAATATTTCTAACACTCACACCAATTAGCCTATCCCCAAAGTAATAAGCCAATCCCCAAGCCTTATAGTGCTATGAGGCTTGTGTTATGGGATACTAGGTTAACGGATAGAATACATATACTTTACATGTATATATATTTATATAGAAATACATATTAAACATACAATACAAGTACAAATGCTCGTGTTCATCACACAAACATCTGCCCCCACCGGGTTCGGACCCGGGACCTCTCGAGTCGGCGATACCATGAAACCCGGCGTACAAACCACTCGGCCACGGAGGTCGTCTAATGAGGAGAGAAAGAAAGGAGATGTGTCTGCCCTTACTTCCTCGATATTGAAAATGCTCATGTTACGTACACTTAATATAAAAACAGGGGGAAAAAACAGCCCTTGCTGATTTTCTTGTCCGTTCTTCTCAGTACAAGGTCTCCCGCCGTAGATTTACGAACCGATGGCGTAGCTTCTAGACATTCCTGAGTGCTTGTAACAGCCTAAACTGAATAAATGATTTTGATTACGATTACAGAATGTAAAAGAGAAACTGATGTTAAATATAGTTTTAAGTTAGAGAATCATGCCAGAAACGACATTATTGTTAATATACAGTGCTCCTGCCTTCAATGTTTGATTATAAAATCCTAACCTAGCGTCTAAAAAGAATCGTATGTATCGTTTTGGTATTATTGTCGGCACTTCTATTCCCGTTTGTTATTTGTAAACGTGACATCAGTTTGTCCTTTTCATTCCTTATAAAGCATCATGTTGTCAAGTTTACTAAGAGCAAAATCGAATACTTAGACATAAATATCTAGCTGTACCCTTAGTACGAGTTTGAGTTTACGAAAACTATCTAAATTATGTTTCTATGTCCATTTTGGTGAAAAGTAACCAAATATACTTAAAATTTAAGAAGACGCAAATGATTTAATGATAGAATTTAAACACTGTTTATTTGTACTGAAACGATAACAATAAAATCAGTACCCTTAGTACGAGTGGGAGCTCACGAAAACTATCATAGTTTTCGTAATTGTAAAACTCGTACTAAGTGCATTATTATACAGAATTGCATATGTGTGTAAATTTATAGGCCGATTAACATTTTTTAGAAACTTTCTTAGAAATAAAAATGTATTCAATGACTTTTAAAACATATAAGAAGCAACTTATGGAATTTTTATATTATAGATATTCATCGACGACTTTTTTTAGATTCTTGGATAAAATATTTTAAGACTTTAGCAACACCTTTATTTCCTTGTAACAGAAGCCATATTCACAGCGCAACTATGATAATAAATATTGTACTTAAATTAGTATTTTCTCATTAATCTCAATCAGTAATATGCGCTCACGTATTGTGATATTAGTTAAGATATTTATGTAGACATTATCAAAGGGTAATAAAATGTTAAAAAATATTCATGATTGTTTAATTATGTTTTATTTTCGGAACTTTTTAATTTATATTATAATAAATAAACGAAATTGTTTAATTTCTGGAACAGTAATAGGATGTTGGCTAACGTCTATCGGATAGATTATCAAAAAGTATTGAACACGTATGTTTTCTAAGAGATGCTAGAGAAAATTCGATACGGCCATTAGGGTCGCATTCGAGGTAGCATAATGGCCAGTGCATTCGCCCAGATAGCGAAGGGTGCGAGTACGAGTCCCGTCTGCTGCCTGGCCCGCGTGGAATGATAATGATCTTTAATTGTCGAAGGGTGCGGGTTCGACACCCGTCTGCTGCCTGGCCTGCGTGGATTTTTTTCTAGTAAAATTTTAGATTTAAAGTGTCTCTTATTTTTAGCTAATCGAACTACCGAAATAATTTAATTTCGTTTACTTTATACCCCGTCCTATTTTCTTCTAAATTTTTGCTATTGTCCATACGTTATTATCTAATGCTAAAGGTTTCACAGAAGTAACTTCGATACCCGATATCCTACAAATTCACTTCTAAGGTATCGCAAACATCAAATGTTTACAGTTCCGACTGGTATATTAAAAGACCCTTTTAATAGTATTTGGTTGAGATCGGAGATCTAGGATTATTGGGCGTGTTAGTTATGCAACTGCTCACTGGACAAGGGTCCACAACATAGTACGAAATGGATACCACAAGGCGGACATCGCGTGCCAAAACTATGCCAAAAGGGTGTGCAAAGCTCTTACTTTTCCGTTATTTTTAGGGTTCCGTATTCATTAAAAGAATAAAACAGAACCCTTATAATATCACTTTGTTGACGTCTCTTGAAATAGGTCTTAAAGTTTATTTATTTGCATCACAAATTAATATACAATTAATAATATCGCTGCCGACATGGTTAACAACTTTTTTTCTATCAAATATTTATTATTAAATCAAATATTTATTGTCAAATATTATTTCCGAAGCTATATATATTTTAGTATGTGGTTAAAATATTTACCTACTTTATTTTTGAAGTGAAACTTCTTTATCGGCGTTGGAAAAAAATTTACCGTCACATTTTTCGGTTACGCATCACATTTTTCCGTTACGCGCCATCTTTTTTTATATTAATAGTTATATATATATAATAGATAGCTGAATGATCACACTGTCGCCGGCGAGAACTCTCTCTACTCGTTTGTAGCTGAGTGACAATAGTTATTAAAGATAAGACTCGCTCAGCCAAACTCGCATAGCGATACTCGCTCAGCGATTCTCGCTCAGCGGTACTCGCTCAGCGGTACTCGCTCAGCGATACTCGCTCAGCGATACTCGCTCAGCGATACTAGCTCGGTTAAGCTGGCTTGACTGTCAAAAGCCGTGCGCGTGCATTTTAACTCAGGACTGCCAATTCGTTTCTAGTTTCTACTCGCTTATCGTTCATCGTCGGAGGTGGAACATGTGCCTTAGATTACTGAGCCGTGTAATCATAACAGTTTCATAGGCAGTAATTTGTATTCATGTCTATGATAATAAAATCCTTTTGTTTAAACTTTATCTAATTTAACTTTATTTAACCAATTTCTGGAAAGTTGCATGTAGATCATTTTTCGAAAAATAAGGCCATAAAGAAGTTTCACTTCTTACGTGTGTACACTAGTACACGCACACATTTTTTTAATATTAGTATATTTTTGCTGCTCTATACCTTAATACTTCAGTTATTATTTTAAGAAAGTTTTCACTGGCTTTAAGCAAAATATAGTAGTTTCGCCTCCTATATATTTTTTTTCGAAATAAAGTATTTGATCCCCTGATATAGTAGGATACTTTATTATATAGTAGGGTTGGCAATCCTAGATATAATATAAGTTTAAACAATTCTTAAATATCTAGTTTGAAATACAGTAATTAGTAATAGTCAGAAGCTCAGCAGTGTTTTTGTCTTAAGAGGGGAAGTGGTCAATGTTCTTTCCATAAAAACGCTCTCGGCTGATTCCTCATTGATTTTTATCACTAAAGAAATGATTTCCATACATAAAATATAATTTAAATCATTCCATGCTCCTATATTCTCATGTTTTTGAAAACTTGCTATTCAAAGAAACTAGAAGCCATCAAAAATGCCAAAAATAAACTATTTTTTATACTAACTAACGTTAATACTATTAAAGAAATTATTATTATTATTGTCGAACTCTATTCCCAAGTTCCTGGTTACGCTCACATGTTCAAGTTAAATGTAGGTCTGTGGTAGCAGCAATACAAGACGTTGAAATCATACAATGTCTCGTTCGCTCGGAATCTAATAGAGTTAGCATCTGGTGTGCAGTTCTAGTCACAGAACACAGAAGGCAGTCGCGCAAGAGTAATGTATAAGCAAATGCAAATAACTTGTCCAAAACTTGGTTCTGATTGCACCGTCGCTCTCGGGTGTGAGCGCTGATTGGTTCGATTGTTTGATGTCGTGTCGTTTGATTGGCTATTTATTATCTAATAGCAGATTTCTTATTAATGTTCGTGCCAAATTTTAAGTAAGTCAATGCAGTACTTTTTGATATCATTCCGGACATACATACAGGCAAACAGACAAAAATTCTTCAGAAAACTATATTTTTGGCTTCGGTATCGATTGTAGATCACACCCAAAGTATTCTTTAAAAAAATGTTCAATGTGCAGTTTTGACTTTCCTTCCATTTTATTATATGTATAGATTAGGTGCAACTTTTGTAGGGGCCAGCCGGCGATATCGGTACTCGTACAAACGGTTTATGATCAACTTCTAACCTCTTTCTGTATTCTGTTCCAGTCGACAGAGCGACGGGATTTGTGTGCGAAGTTTAAAGGCGGGATTGGGAGTGGGTAATTTAGGGTTGATGCCTAATTTTGTTTTCTTCACCGACATGTATTTTTTACTATATTGATTTGAAATGTCGGATGTCGTCCACGTCATGGTACAATTTTACCTACAAGTGACGTCACGAGCCCCCAATCCCAAATTTTATCTTTGTAAATTTATGGTTGATTGACAAATGAAAAAAAGTGGGCATTATTTTTTAATAATCCAACTGTTAGATTAAATAGAGTTCCGTTTTCAGACGGACCACGATAAGTCTGCAGTCAACTGACAGCAGCAGAAATTAAAACTTTGCTCATGGCAGTACTCATTATAAGTATGTAGTTTAATTAACTATCTCTGATACTTTTTACCGACTTTACAAAAAAAGGTAGTTCTCAGATAATATGTATATTGTAATTTGCACGTTTATGGACCGATTCCGTTGATTCGGTTTTAGGGTTCCGTACTCAAAGTGATAAAACGGGACCCTATTGCTGGCATGCTGTCCGTATGCC